ATTTACTTAAGATGAAAGATTCTATATTAATGTCAAAGCCTCCAGCAAGGAGAACAATGGACAGCTCAGTAGTGACCTCATGAAATCTCCGCAGTCTCTGAGTCAGAGGCAGCAGTGCCTTAGATCTCACACACACAACTATGAAGCTGAAGGCTAGAAGTGCCCAGGCACCCTCATACCAGGGAGGGGACTGCTAATATTCAGGCGAAATTCAAGACAAAAAGTTAGATTCCTCAATGTACTGCTCAGAACATAACTGAAATGTCTAAATGTCCCCTACAACATAGCAAACCGTCACTTTGTGAGTTGAGGGCATCATTAGAGAATACTGAAATGACTAACACAGACCATACAAATATCATACAAGTGTATGCAAAGATCAAGTATAGAAATCAAAAGCCTGGTGTGAAAACAAAGGCAACAGTTTCATTTTATTTGAAAAGAAAGCACACTTTGGCGATATATCCATCAGCCAGACAGAAGGCAGCACTCATATCTATCACTGATATATTCCATTGTTTTAACCTTGAAATAGACTTGCAATATTACATGCATGATTAAAATCCTCACATCTTTATAGGACAAAATATCAGTAGCCAGGATTAGCTTTTTTTTTCTGCAAAATTCCTAGATTTGTTTTTTTTTTTTTCTTTTTCTGACAAACAAATAAATATGCAAAATGACTTATAGGAAATCAAGAATACGTGGATAAGAAACATTTGGGGCACAGTATGCATGCTGCTTGTATGTAAAAGTTCGTCCCTGTTATAGGATGGTAGATGTACAGGACAGAGCTTCCCTGTATTTAAAGTGGTCCCATGCTCAAATGTTAAGAGTCTTGTTAATATAAACAGGACTCCAATTTTTATTGGAGAAAATGCTTTTCCAGTTTCCATTTAGTATTTGGACAGTCTGATCCTCCCCTTCAGAGGAGACCATGTGACCAAAAGCCTAGGCTTCTGACCCTGCAACCAATGGTGGAGGAAACATGGAAAAGTATCCTCGCCAAGCATAGTAACAACTTCTTATTTATTCATCCCAGGCTGTTAGCATACTTTTAAAATGTAACTCCACTTTTGCTTTAAAAAAAGATGTAATACATAATTACTAGTAAAAATGATCTCTCTTGTTCAATCAGCAGATATGGTTTCCCAAATCCAAAATGGCTTCCCTGTATGAATAATGGACTCTGACGTAGGGTTGTCACCTTTTCAAGTGAAATCCAAACACTCTAGCCCCACGTGCGGCAATCTTTACATTTTTGGGGGGGAATATAGTGGAGAGAGCGAGGAGAGGCAGCCAAGGAGGAAGGAGGCCGGCTATAGAGAACTAAAAATCCCAGCAATATATTATACAGCAATACAAAATAATATGAAGCTACATACTTCGTGTTGCTCTGGGGTGGCACCCTGATGTCTCCAGGGTCTCATCAGGCTGTGCGCACTCTCAGGTAGACTACGCGGGCTCTGATGCGAAACTCTCAGGTGAGCATAATATATAAATAGCGCCACCCATTCATATGTAAATATGACAGCCTAGTCTATTTTTCAGTGGGGAGCCAGTCACCATTTTAATTTTGGTTGCCCCGGTCTGCCTGACATGTTGTGTTCGGGTTTCAGCAGCTACGTAACCCGGACACAGCCTTCAAAACCCGAACAGGTGGCAACCCTACTCTGACGGTTGGTGTCCAGCATTCTCCCAGAAATGTGATTTCCTGCTTATAGGAGTCACTCACTATTGTTCCCAGCAGTGCCTCTCTAATAATACTGGGGCTGATCATGTGACTATAGCAGGAAGCCCCTCCCACTCAGTCATCAGAAAGTAGGAGGTGACCACAGGGAGTAGGGGGGAGGATTTATTTTCACAAAAATGGAGTTACATTTTAGGTTAGCGTTTGCATAGACATACACTTTAAATGGTTAGCCATTGGAAGGCTCATTTGCCAGTCAGCTTGTACAACCAATGAAAAAATAATCGGGGAGTTCTGCTATGAGCATGGCATTGAATCCACTAATAAGAAACCTCTTGTACCTTTTTCAATATGTAACTTAGCTGGAAACAAGATAATCTTCAATAGATAGATGGAAATAATTACACTGAAACAGGATAAACAGATCTGCAGCCTTACTAAAGAATGTTGCGGTTTTTACACCGGACGCAAAACTGCAGCGTGATTTATTTATGGCTAGGATTCTCTGAATGTAAAAAGGATGATGTCCTAAGGGACGACATCACAGGTCTGCAATTATAACAGTATGATTTTCAAGCTTTATCACAGTATAAAGTTAAACTAGGTTATCGTTGGATATAAAAATCAGAGTTCATAGATAGGATATGCACACTGTGCCCTGTGACTACATTTCTATGTGTACAGGTATACAAGCGTATTTAAATTTACATGTGTACAAATGCAGCAACTGGGACTGGAATCGGCAGCACGTTGAAGGAAAAGAATGGATCAAAAATGATGGTCGGGTGACTTACGACCCCTATTTCCATTCCATAATTTCAGATAAGGGCTCAGAATACACACAGCCCTTGGACCCCCCATTGATGTGAATGGATGAAGGGTAGTGAACTGCTGTACTACTGAGCTACTCGTTTCCCAGAAAAGTTCTCATGATCTAGTTGCGTTGCAGGACATCCATTTTATAAAGGATAACAAATGTCGATTTTATTGTTATGCATGGAACAGAAATGCAGCCTTCATTAGTACAGTACAGCGACATGTGTAGTTACCAACCAATCAGAGATAATGGTTCACTGAACTGATTAGAGTAAGGTCAAATCTAACTGGTTCCTATGGTGTCTGCACTTTGCACATCAGCATTGCTTTTTGCATTGCCTTACTGAGTACGTCAAAGACCAGAAGCGCAACTCTTTCCAGCATACCAGTCCTGCCTGGAGAAACTAAGGCCCCAACATTTTTTTTAGTTTTGTGTAGAGTAAGGGAGGGTTATAATAACCCCGGTCAGCATTTTTTTTTGCCATTGGGGAGATTTCCTTTAACTTCCTGTCTGATAACCACAACAGGAAAGTTAGGGAAATCCCTGGTGGTCACCATGGCCACCAGAACTAGTGTCCACACTGGTAGATTCCTCATCTGTTCCTGTTCTGATGGCAACCCAACATTTGTTTTTCCTAGTGACTGTTATCTCTGAAAGTGAATGAAAATCACAGAGTGAATCTCTCTAACAGGAGCAAGAATCTGACGGGTGTTCGAATCCCTCATCATCTACCTAAAACTTAAAAAAAAAGTTTTGGCTTCAGTTGCACTTTTACTAAATTGGAGGAATGGCGGCTGGAATTTGATAGGTTGCTTGAGGCAACACCTCCAATTTTCTCAGTAGAATTGGTCTAATCCAAAACTGATACTTCATACAGAATGGAGCTGGTGGGCCCAATCACCCAACGGCCGTCTCTGAGGTGCCAATTTCAATATTATACCACTTGAGATCCCGGCTCAGCCCACCAACCATAGAGAAGCACAAGGGTAGCCGAGTTTATTATAATATATAAGCACCCGAACCTCAGATCCAGCCAGCTGCGACAGCGCTCCCTCCAGCCTCGCTTCCCCTCTGCGTCCTCATGTCCTATACACAGTGTACAGAACACGTTGACTTAGGGACCTTAGACCGTTGCAGTGGAGTGGGAGGGAGGCAGAAGGGACCGGTCTAAGAACCGTCTGGCTCCGAGAATCAGGCGAGCATCACTTGTTTATTTTTAACCCTAGACAAAATCGAGCACTTAACCCTTGCAGTCAGTGCAGGGGTAGCACCAATGCATGGGGTTAGGAGTTATTTTTTTCTCCGGAGCTCTTTTTTAAACTCCAAGAGTGAGAGTACACCACTTGAAATGATTGTGGTAGATGGGCAGAGCTGGGACCAATGAAGCACAGATTTCAATGTTGGAGCAAGTGGGCGATTCAACGTGCCAGCATCTACTCCAAATTGTTCTATCAGTTTTGGTTGTACTGATCTGGTCACAACCCCCATACAGCTCTACCCCAATATATAAAATCCTTATACCAAGACAGGGGCAGAGCCAACGCAGAATAGGAAATGTCTGTGTGTAGCATATCAGTATATTATACTGTATGTCAATGATGGCAAGCCTCAAAGCAATTGCATTTACAATGGAGAAAAGGAAAAACATAGGGAACAATGAGATACAGTCATATATTTACAAGTTAACATGAAAGAGGGCACTGCTGCAATAACCATAGGCCACAATGATCATATAACCAATATCAGATGACAAAGTGCAATGTTCTTCCTCTACCCCAAGCCATTGACACAGCCTGCAGCTGAGCGATATATATTTATATATATCAAATACACCATACATGAACATGGTATTTATTCAAGAAAGCTTTCTGTTCTGAAATCAAAGCAAAAATAAAAACAATACACATACGTTAATAACACAGTCAACAAGACAGCAACAAACTACTTTGTACAGTTCTATCAGCAAAGAAAAAAAAATTAACATTTTATAAATAAAAAGCAGGTCCCAGACCCGCTGAGTGCGAACCATTTTTTTTTTTTTAAATAGGTGAATGAAGTAAATCCTATTTACAACAATATGAATTTGCAGAACAGTTGCAAGGGCAAGAAAAAAAAAAGGTGCAAAGATGACAATCGTTCTTGTCGCGCTGATGAACTCGCGAGTTCTCATTACGCAGCGAAAAGGTCAAAGCGGGATGAGTTCATCCAATCAAACTAAATTTAAAAAAAATAAAAATACATAAACATAGACATTCTTGATTTCTTCCCCCTCACTCAGCATGAACATATAGGCATAAGAATAAAAAACAAATTCCAAGAAGGATTCCTCGGTATGATCTTCTTGCAGCTACAAAGTCCTTGTTATCCGTTAATTACGTTAGATTAATCTTGAAGCTGTAAGTATCAGGCTGGATAAGTCCATCCCCCCTACTTAAAAATGACCTCTAAAATCAAAAACATGGATCGTAGTCCAAGAAGTATCTTGCGCTACAGTTTCTCATTTAGCCGTAAAGACTCGGCGACGTGTCCTCCTTCGGTGATCGGTGGGAAGTCACCAGGCTTCTGTGTAACGGACGTCCACCTCTTTAAGGTTCGGCAGCTTTGCCTGTAAAAAGAAAGATGCACAAGTGTAAGCATGTCCCAAATGGGGGGACGTTCTCCTCTGGGGGGACAAATGTAAGCTTTAGGTAGTCAAGGCAGGATTCGACATCTAAACGTAGGACAGGAGGGAGCCTATGGAAGAGGACACTTCCTGACCAAAATTGAAAGCATGACAGCTTTTACGTTTGAGTTTTCACACCAAGGTTTTCTATCATTTGTGTTATTCTTTGAAAAAGATCTACATTTTATAAATAAACATTCAACACAGGGTGCACCCACAACACTGAAAGTCTGCAAACCACTGTGGGCTTTCTAATAAGAAAGCCCAGCACTTCCGACATTTTTGGTGACAGCTTGTATATTACTAGCTGACGCTGCTCTGTTTCTAGCATGAGAAATGAGGACAATTCAGCTGTGTATGTAATCTGATTACTCCTAATCCTGAGCCTATCGGGGAGCTGTAAAATAAGCTTTGTTTGTTCTAAAGTCATAATAATAGAGTATAATGTGATGAGGAATATGTGCACTCCATAGGCAGTTACCAGCCATTAGAGGTAGCCAGATCATAGAACATCAGCTATTGTGGCCTTTGAGGCCCCCATGCAGCAGTGTCTTGAACAAATGCGGCAACTCCTTGAGGTTCAAGTGTTCATAGTATGGAAAGAAACAGCAGGGACCAAGGAACAGTCTGCATAAGCAGTGGAGGTACTAAAGAGATTTCCCCTGTAGTGTGGCTGTAGTTATAACCAGCAGGCAGTATATACGGTAGTTTCCAAGGCTGGGGTGGAAAAAGCTGAACTCCATAAGCCTTGGAGATGCTCTATGCTTTCCTCCATACAGCTATAGTACTATACAACATTTATTTGGGGTGACAGACATTATATCAGCAGCTCCACCACTGTGTAAAAATGATGAAATGTTTTAAATCGGCTGCTTTTCCACTATAATGGTGTTGTTCTTTCAATAGAAGATAATAATAATCTAAAATGTTGCCTTGATAACCCATAACCCAACTCCGCATTCAGAATATACAGCATTAGGGCCATTAGAAGGAGCTGAGGAGCAGAAGAAATACATACTTCTTTCCTATGCTCCTTAGGTCCACCTACTGGCCATAATGTGGTATATTCCAATCGCTACATTCGATCCGTAGGAAAGTATATTAAGAACATTAATTTTGGCCTCAATTCGCACAGAACAAATGTTCACAGAGTTTTACAGTGCGAAAAACTCTGGGAATTGTTCCCCTTAACATCAAAGATTTTTTACATCTTTTTCACAATCACATTCTCAATGTTTCAGGACATTCATGTATTTAAATGTAGCTACCAGCAGCATATAAAAGAAAAAGAAATACTTTATTTTAGGTTTACTAGCCATAAAACATGGAAAGTGCAAAGGGATTAGTGTACAAAATCCAACTTTATAATAATCCTTCTGGAAGAGCTGGTTCTGTAGCGTGTCATTCTTAGCTCGGGTGTGGGGATTTGGGAGTTATTTTTATCACCACACAAACTAGGTATTCCAAAAAGATGCTTAACACCCAGGAAATGGTATATATATGGAACAGGATCCCAGGCAAAAATAACAAGTAGGTCACATCACTGGGTGTGTGTACAGACGGGATAGGACCGTGGGTGTACTGGTGTAATTAGGATCTTGTTGAGATTTAAGCCACTACAAGCCCTTGCTGATTAATATAAAGCTGGCTAATTAAAGTTCTGTATCTCCAGTTTCGTAAGCTGGTAGATAAATTGTCTGGCATCTGCTGCCAGGCTGGCTAGGAAGGTTCTACCTTATTAATAGTTTAAGTGGGGCCAAATATAAAAAAATGGCACAAGTTTTTTAAAGTACTAGGCATTCATTTCAACATCTCCTTCAGCAACTGTTAACATCAACAGGTCAGAAGAATTATGCAACCTGTCCGTCTTTTTAATATTTTAGAACCAGAAGTCTAGTTAAAGAGGAACTGTTTTTACCATTATTAGCCAAAAACCCATCTTTGGGCACCCTAGAGGCCCTAAAACTGTAGGCTGCACATTGAGTTATAAAACAGAAGTCAAGGCCCAGAATGAAGACATGGTTCAATAGAGAAACACCTAGTAGACTGACAAATTTGCACAAATACTATATATTGTCTACTAAGAGCAGGCTACATCATCCTGATGGGTTGTTCCCCATTTCGAAAGATACAGCCTATGAAGAGGGTTCATTGCAGAGGTGGAAGCTGCTAACATGATAGTCATTTGTAGCCTGACATGATAGTCAGGCTACATCATCCTGATGGGTTGTTCCCCATTTCGAAAGATGCAGCCTATGGAGAGGGTTCATTGCAGAGGTGGATAGTCATTTGAAACTATGAGGAGCTTTTCCCTGCATAACCCAGGGGGGTATTATGCCCATCTGGGTAGAGGAAGAGATGCCAATTTCTTCATAAGGTTCTGCCTCCATTGCATATCCTGAGTCACGGCGCTGCAATTACTAAAGTGGTACCACTATTGCTGCGCTGCACCTACAGCCCATAGGAACTGTTACCCAGACTGCGTAGGGATTTGGCTAAGATTTAGTGCCTGATATATTAAGAACTCTGCCTACAGAGTATCGCTTAGCATCACTATAAGGCGAGAACCCAGTTATTATATTGGTTATTTCCCATAAACTTGGAAAGGTGGATTATCAAACTGCATTAGAAACATGCCCACTATGGAATCACAAAATAAGTAAGGTCTGATGACGGAAGTCATTTTAAAAGGGTTGCAACAGGTCCTAATATAGTGTAATTACAGGCAAACAAGGGCAAATCTTTTAGCATCCTTCATTCTTGGTGAAAGACCTGCTCATGCTTAGCCACCTACAGCACCAAAGGGTATAAAACATAAATATGAAAACACAGGAGCCACTCCATGCTAGACTCCACATAGATAACAGAAGAGGAATGGTTTCTGGGCTTACCTTAAGATCCTCATAAGTGTCCGCTGACAGTTTGGTGCTGTTCATGTTTAGGCTGCAGAGGCTCTTCATAGCTAAGTGTAAAACAGAGGAAGGTTATACATGTATACTGCTTTGCAGGAAAACTGCTAAAGGGTCAAGGAAGAAGGGGACTGGGAAAATATGGGTTGATAAAGGAAGACTTCTTACAGCTCAGTGCCAGCAGCCCAGCATCTGTGACGGGGGTTTCACACAGGTTGAGAACTTGCAGCGCAGTGAGGTGTTCAGATAAAACCCGCAACCCAGCATCTCCAAACTGCACAGAAAAACAGATAAGCATGAAGGTATTATATCTACAGTACATTCAAATTCGTGAATTAAAACAAATACATCAATGTTTATGGAAACCAACAGAGGAATACTTTATCACCATAGTGCTCCTTGAAACTGGGGTGGTCATCAAAGACCCTATTTGCATGTTGACCAGCCTCAAGAAGGCCTTACCCTGGCCAGATGTCAGAAATCGGAGCCTTTGATGCCAGCCTAACGTAAAGAAGTAAAGTTGCCACAACCCCCAAAGTCAGAGCCAACCACCCCATCATGAGACAAAGTTAAAGTTCTCCTCCTGGGGTAGCGGGGCTACTACTATTCATATTAAGGCTTTCATTGTTCAAGTTCTCACTCTCTAAATAAATTTCAATAGGGATGCACCGATACCAACACTAGTATCGGTGCTGATACTGAGTATTTGGGCAAGTACTCGCCCAAATGTTTCACATGCCTATCCCGATACCAGAACTTCCGGTATCAGGAAGCTGGGCGGCGAGTTATTACACCACAGCATGGGGCTGGCTTCCCGGCCAGTCAGGAAACCAGGAGGCATGTAAAGAGTTGCCGCCCAGATTGCTGATTGGTCAGGACACTGGCCAATCAGGAAGCTGGGTAGCGAGTCATTACCTGCCCTGGCTTCCTGATTGGCCAGAAAGCCTTTGTGATGAGGTAGTATGGAGCCGGCTTCCCGGCCAATCAGTAAGCTGGGCGCCGTGTAATAGCTAGCCTCCCAGCTTCCTGATTGGTTGGTAAGCAGGCGGTGAGTCATTATCCGCCCCCCGGCTTTCTGATTGGCCAGAAAGCTGGCTCCATGCTTCCTCGTCCACTGGCATTTACACGGCGCCCGGCTAATCAGGAAGCTGGGCGGTCAGTCATTACACGCCGCCTGGCTTCCTTAATGGGACTTAAATATCAATTAAAAAAAATTAAGTGAATGAAGACCCCAACAATAAACTTCTCTTATTTTACTGCCTTTTGGTCTTTTACATACATCATTGAAAGCACTTTGATATATCTGTTCAATAAGTGAACTACAAACCCAACTCAATGCCAGGAGACAGGACTGTTTAATGTAAAGTGGTAGCTCCGAGAGTGATGACCAAGAATTTTTAAAATGTCAGGCCCTCTGTAATTATATGTACACTGTACTAAAATGAAACAGGCATCAGGTTGAAATGTGGCTCTTTAATTTCTGTAATTTACAGTACTTGAGTACCTAGCTCCCCTCCTACTACATCCTGTCATCTGTTAACCAAAACCCCATCCTTAGTTCTACGTACCTGAGTTGACCACAGGTTGAGCTGTTTGAGTGAAGGCAGCTTGATGAGTTGCTCAGCACAGGCACTCGTTACATTGGTGAAGGCCAGACTAAGGTTTTCTAGGTTTCCGAATGAGCCGGAGCTCAGTAACCTGGCTAAATCAGCATCCTGAAAACAGAGAGCCTCTTTTAATATAAACCAAGAGGAGATATCTACTATTTGGGTTGGGATCAAATACAGGGAAATCAGGTAGAAATTCACCAATACAAATGACTAATTTTCCTGACAGCTTAAAAAATAAAGAAACGTAACATCTTCCGTTGGCACAAGCCCAACTGAAAGTTACACATATCTGATCAAAGCCACAACCTCTATCAAATTTTACTAATTTTAGGCTCCAAAAAACTGTCAAATTTGGGTCAGTTGATATTTATGAAACCAGCGAAATTACTACTTTGTGATATATAGGGTGTATCTTGTTATTTTTAAGCCACTACTAGCTGAGGAACAGAACGTCGAAGGCGGGAAGATGAGCATGTGCAACTGGGGAGGGTAGCTTTTAAGTGAACATGTTGCTTTGTCCTTCAATGTCTTTTTGTTCTATTTTTGTACTATTTATATAAAATCTTCATTTATAAACAAATCACAGAGCACTATGGGTTTTCTTAGAGAGCACAGCAGAAGCCATTTGTCTTCAGACTATCTCTCTATGATGGAAACTTCCTAACTTTCTTTATACAGAGAGAAGTCGGAAGGACGAGTCACTGAGTCTTCAGTATAAGTTGGAGCTTCAACATTTCAGAGCAAAGCAGGTAAGACTAACAAGGCATGTGAAAATTAGCCGAGAGGTCAGTCATAATATATATTATATTTTCCTATTTTTTGTTATGATCATAATGAACTAAGGACACTGTAAAACCAAATAGATTCCCTGTGGCCATTTTAAGAATCTGAAACTAAAACCTCCCATTGATGGAATCTTCTTAAGAGCTACGGGCTCCGCTAGAATCTTCACATCAAACTCTTCCAGGAGTATTGAAAGCCTGTGCCTCCATCATGCTCTGTGACTCCTTGCGCCAGTCCTTTGTCACTATAGGATGAAGTAGTGATGTAGGGGCTGTCAGAAGGTACCACAGTGAACAGAAGAGAACAAGACATCTGAAGCACCTAAAAGTGTGTTAGATAC